CTCCACCTTGGACATCTTTTGGCTGCTCAGAACCAGGACAATCATGCAGCTAGGCGTGTGTTTGGGTCGGAGCTGGCAAAAGCTCCAGGCTGCTGTGTACCACTCTGTCTACCCTACTTGGCAATGAGATGCCCCCTTGTCCACTGCAGCCTCTCCCACATCTGTCACCATTGTGTCTGCAGTCCCACCTCTCTCCACTGCACACATACTGCTATTTTCCTTCATTTTTTCTACTTTTCCATTGCATGTTTGTTTGTCCAAGTGGTATTGTCACTATATATATATATCTCCTGAACAGCTTTATATGCAAATCTTTGTTGCAACAAGTCTTTGGGTCATTGGTCTGATTCAAGGTTTCTGGTTTCTGAAGTATCTCAAATACAGAATCATTGCTGAAATTTATCTTGGCTCTCCTGCTGTTGTCCAGAGTCAAGGCGATGTTGTTGATGGGCAGGGTGTTCCTGGCAGGCTCTGTGTGAGCTGTGGGGTACTGCACACCTCCTTGCCCTCCATGTGTAGCCATAGTGGCTGGCAGGCCCTGTTCAGCAATGACACGTTTCTGAGGGAGCTCAGGCTGCCACACTCTACCCTGTCCTTGGTGCCCACCTTCCGAGGCTCAACATGCATGGCTGCTCCCCAGGTTCAACATGCATGGCTGTTAAGCTTGTAGGCTGTAGGCAGTGCTGCTGGCCCATGCTTTGTGTCTCCCAGCAGGGTAAGCAAAGGTTGCAGTCACAGAGGTTTCACACTGGGAGCTGCTCACTGAGCCTAGAGTTGGCTCTATTCAGTAAAGCTATGTTCTCTGTCCACCATGTCTGTGCTCTCCCATATTGCTCCCATACCCTTCGCTGCTGTCTACCATCTTTCCTTCCAGTTTTGCAAGTCTACTTTTTAAAAGCATCTTCCTATCAGACCTACCTTTTCATAGATGTTCTGGAGGTACTGTGGGCTCTTCAGATTCCTTCTCACAGCAGGGCAGTGCTCTGGCCCCTCCATGGGTCTCACGGCTGATGGTGAGGACTGGAGAGGGCATTGGTTTGGTGGTCGCATCTCTCATCTGTGCACCGTGTCCTACATGGCCACTGCAGGGCATCTGCTGTGGCCCGACGTGGTTTCTCTTCAATAGTTTTAAGAGCAGCAGTGGTGTCTCCAGGGTAAAGGGGGAGGACTGGCCCTACTTGGCAATGACATATTCCCTTGTCCGCGCAGCCGTGCTCCCATACCTGTCAAGGCCACTGCACCTCTACTCCTGCTTCTCTCCTCTACCAGCACTGCTCCTGCCTAAGTTTTTCATTTCTGTTTTTCTATCTTGACTTTCAGAAAGTAAAAGCATAGTTTGGCCTAAAAAGTATATTATCTTTTTTCATGCTGCTAAAGTCACATAGACTTCATGAGCTAAACAACGGTGATTATTTTTGTCCTCAGTACTGGAGGATAGAAATACAGGGTCAGCTTGCATTCCCACCAGCAATGCAGAAGTGTTCCCTTTCCCCCCACAACCTCTCCAGCATAAGTTGTCATCAGTGTTTTTGATTTTCGTCAACCTTACAGGTATAAGATGAAATCTTAGGCTTATTTTGATTTGCATTTCTCTGATGACTAAGGATATTGAGCATTTCTTTAGGTGTATTTCAGTTAGTTTAGATTCATCTCTTAAGAGTTCTCTGTTTATGTCTGTAATCCATTTTTTTAATTGGATTATTTGTTCTTTTGATGACCAATTTCTTGAGTTCTTTGTATATTTTGGAGATCAGTCCTCTGTCTATGTGGGATTAGTGAAGATCTTTTTCCATTCTGTAGGCTGTCGTTTTGTCTTGTTGACCATGCCCTTTGCTTTATAGAAGATTTTCAGTTCCAGGAGGTCCCATTAATTAGTCATTTCTTTCAGTGTCCATGTGGCGATTTCTCAGAAATTAGGAAACAACCTTCCACAAGACCCAGTAATAATACCACTTTTGGGTATATATCCAAAGGATACTCAATTGTGCCACAAGGACATGTGCTCAACTATGTTCATAGCAGCATTGTTTGTTATAGACAGAACCTGGAAACAAGCTAAATGTCCTTTGACTGAAGAATGGATAAGGAAAATGTCGTACATTTACACAATGGAGTACACAGCAGAAAAAAATAACATCTTGAATTTTGCAGGCAAATGGATGGAGCTAGAAAACATCATGTTGAGTGAGGCGACCCAGACCCAGAAAGACAATTATCACATGTACTCACTCATAAGGTGGTTTTTTTTAAACATAAAGCAAAGAAAACCAGCCTACAAACCATATCCCAGAGAACCTAGACAACAATGAGGATCCTAAGAGAGACATACATCTATCTAATCTACACAGGAAGTAGAAAAAGACAAGATGTCCTGAGTAAATCTGGAGCATGGGAACCTTGGGAGAGGGTTGAAGCAGAGGGTAGAGGCAGGGAGGGGAACATAACAGAGAAAAATGCAGAGCTCAATAAAAATCAATAAAAAGAGAATTACAGGGTCAGGGTGTCAGTTGATTGGCTTATTCTAAAGCTGCCACAGAGACTCTGTTCTTGGCTTTGTTCCTTCTTGGAGATTGTTTAGGAAGCTTTGGTACTTTTAACTTGTAGATGTGTTACTTTGATCTCTGCCTTCATCTTCACATGCTTTCCCTTCATGTACATGTTTGCCTCTGTGTCCCTATTTCCTTATTTATGAACATCTAAGTGTTATTAGAATAGAAGCCACTTTAGCGACTTCATTGGAATTTGATCATTTGCAAAGACTCTATTTCTAGTTAAGGGCACGTTCACAGGAACTAGAGGTTAGGGCAGCATCATCTTTTGAGAGGATAAAATTCAATCCATTAGCAGTATGTAATATTTATGAGACGGTACCCTTGAAAATTCATTGGTAGTGGTTTTATATGTAAGTTTGAAATTTGTTGAAACATTGGCATAATTATATGAGTGTGTGCCAATTGATGAATCACATATGAATATTTGTTCTGAAGACAGGACTTGAATGTTCTTAGAAAAACTCTATACACACATAATTTAGAAGAAGATTTTTCCACTTTGACTGACAGTTTTCTCAGGAGCCATAGACTAACAAAAGGCCATCACCAGGTATGAGAATCTCTCTTTTGAATTGTTGGCCACTATTGTCAAAGAAACTCCCAAGGGTCTGGAGAGATGGCTCAGCGGTTAAGAGCATTGCCTGTTCTTCCAAAGGTCCTGAGTTCAATTCCCGGAAACCACATGATGGCTCACAGCCATCTGTAATGAGGTCTGGTGCCCTCTTCTGGTCTGCAGACAGAATATTGTATACATAATAAGTAAATAAATAAATATTTTTTTTTAAAAAAGAAACTCCCAAAACATTATTAGTCATTATATTGCCTTTGTGTATCCCCAAAGGCAGAAAGTAAGTTCCTATTGTTGAACATGTCAAACATATCAGGCACAGAACCAGAGGAGCCAAGCTGCCTGCAACCCCAAAATCCCCCTGAAGACTAGCTTGCATGGTGTCTGAAAGTGTCACACATTTCCAAAGGAGGAGAGCAAACAACAGTCCTGTCTGCACTCAGCTATAACACTTATAAACCGTAACACTGACCAGAGTTGCATGCTAATCCTAAGGGTAGAGTAGTAGCATGTATTCCTTGTTGGTAACCAAAGGTCTCTAACTGGACTGAAGGCCCACTCAACAAGAGGGAAACCTACAACTACTCAGGGCTAGTGAAATCATGTGTCTTGGAGGAGAGCCTCCAGCTGCCACTTTTCTACAATAGTACAATCCCTAACTACATTCTAAATATTTGTCCTTATACCCATTAGGTAAGTGTAGTTCTTGCCCCACATCAAGGAAACTTCTCTTTGCAAACATATGGAGACCATTTACAGAAAATCACAAGCACACAAAATGCAGGTTGTGGAGCTTAGACTCAATTAATACAACCACAATGAAATCATTACATTTAGTATTTGTATCATGTTTTTAACCAGAAAAAGCATGACACATAGCTCAAAAATAGACATTATTAATATTTCTGAATCATCATATAATACTTGTCCAGCTCTTGACACATTTTTCATTGAAGATTGTATTACACACAATTTTCTAAAATAAGTCATATTCCATAGTATTCTAAATATATATCTGAACTTAATATCCATTGGGTCATTAACCTGATGGTCATTGGTAATGAGTTGTGTCACTGTATTTCCAAGCAACGTTAGGTTGAGCTAGCCTTGCCTTGGGGGACTGAGTTCTTTGCCATCAGTCTTGTCCCTCTTACTTTCAGGCTGCTGCCCCGACATTTTCAGTGATCACATTGTTCTCCCAGCTTAGCTTCTCTATGAGGACAGAGGTCTAGCTTTTCCACAATTGCGCACTTCCACAATCCTTCTCATGTCCCTCTCATCCCATCTTCTACTTTCCCAAAGGTACGTGACATTTTCAGATACTGTGTAGCTCTCTTCACTGCCACACCTTTTGCTTCTTCCTTCACCAAGAAGGATTGTTGGTGCACTTGATTCCAGCTCATATTTTCTTGGTGTTTGTCTCAAGTGATATTTTCCCTCTGAAGATTTGTAGGCCACATTTTCTTTCTTTTAGTATCTGTAGTATTATGTATAAAACTTGTCTTGGAACTAATTATATGATGATATAGTATCCTGTTTTCATATTTTTTTTGTTCTTACTGGACTTTAAAAAATAACATGTTTAATTTGTTCTTTGAGAATTTAATGCAAATATGGACACAATATATTTTGATCTTATAGACTCATTGGTTTAGTGTTCTTCCAGATATTGTAGAAATTGGAAACCAAATGAAGAACTGTCTTCATAGTTTGTAGCCTAGTAGGGGACTCCCAGTTTCTATGACCTGGAGAACGGTGGAAAGGACACTAAGAAGATTTCATTGATAAAGAGAAGATAACTGGAAAACTTTTAAACATGCACCTGTTACTGCGCATATTTTTACAGTGCTTTAATGCTAACGGAGTTGATTTGCTTACAGGTGGTCATGGATTTGCGTCGCAGGTTGCAGCAGATGGGTGCCGTCAACAGGAACCCCAGACTTGGTCTCTGGCCACTGGTGTCTTCTAGTGTGGCGCTCTACTCTCCCACTGAGCTCTCCCTGTGCAAGCCGAGAAGCTTGGCTAGAATTTGGCCTTTTCTTTTTGTAAGTAGCTATACATAGCTTAAGAATTTTTTCAAACTACATTTTTTATTAATTTTTAAATTATATATTTTAAAGCTATGGGTTCTCCTAAGACTCACAGGTGTCACTCTTTTGAGCAAAAGCGTGTCTTTTTAATATTCTCCTACATGGTCACATTAGTAAAATGCATACAATATATTTGTCTACTACAAATAACAACTATTTCAAACTCTTAAGAACATATAAATTCAGTTCCTGTAAGAGTATATTTGATTTCACTTGTGCTAATGACAGACTTGGGATTTGTTCATCTGATTTTTTCAAAGTTTTTTTTTGAGACAAATCTTTCAGTAATATCTATACTGCTACTGTTCTGAAGTTGTCCAGCAAACTTTCTTGTTCACAGAATTCTCAACAGTGCTATGATTTTAGCATCAGGATTTTGAGTTGTATTTGTTAAGTGCTTCTTAAGGATTTTTTAAAATAGTTTTTTCTCGAATATATTATCTTTTTATGTAATATAGAGGCATAACATTAATTTTACTTGCAATATTTTTTGGTAATGTCTAATTCTCTCCCAACCCCTATGAAGCAGAGTCAACTAGAAACTGGTAATATTCAATTTCAAGAATTGGTAGGAGCACTTTATAACACAACTTCTGTATTAAGCAGAATAAATACAGTAGAAAAAATTAAAGTATTTTTTCTTCATAAAAAGTAGTGATATTTTTTCAGAATTCTGGGAAATGTCTAAGTAATTTTGGCTGCAGTCATATTGCATTTAATGCTATTGAGAATATTGCTAACATTAACAAAAATTTTCTGTAATTTTCCCCGTTATTGCTACTGGTGATGAGGGATGTGAAGTTGGCATGCATCCATGTTTTGAGCATGATTCTACGTGTCAGAGACAATCTTTCTTTTTAAGACAGCTGGGGGGTAGTGGTCAGGGCTGATTATTCCATATCTGTATCAATGATATCTTAGAGTATAACAAATGTTCCAGAATAAACACACTGTAAATTTTTATGCCTTAGACAAATTTTAAACATTTCTGTTATTTTTTAGTTTATTAGACTATAATCGTTTGGAATCAAAGGTGACTTTTATTCTATAGTAATTATTTTGTCTTTTTTTCTGTGACATTGGCAATGCTCATCTTACAGATGATAAGCTGTCGTTGAGAAAGGAACTTTGACAATAGAAGTAACCAACTACAGGTCCATTTCTACTGTGGAAAGCAGCTGCAAACACATCCCTATGGATGGTGAGTCAGAGCCACATTCATCCACCAGAAGTGCTATGAATATTACTCTGTTCAGTGCACTGTTGGGATGTTGATGTATGATGCTTCATAAGTTGAGTGTAAGCAATCAAAGTAAGACTGAAAAAAAAAGAAGTGGGACCTAGGGAGGTTCCCAGTGGGTAAACTGAGACTATTTGTGGCACAGACCTGAGATGTTACAGGAAGCCAGGTGTGGTGATGTGTCTGGAAACACAATACTGATATTGAATGGGGACTTACTCACTGGTCAGTGACTAGTCAAAATGGGGAGCCTCGGGTTCACTAAGAGAACCTATCTCTTTGTAAGGTAAAGTGTTGGAATGGTGACAAAGTGGTTAAGAGCACTGGCAGATTTCCCAGAAGACACAGGCTCAACTCTCAGCAGCCACATAGCAGTCAACAACCGCCTGTAACTCCAGTCCCAAGTGATCTAATGCCTTCTTCTGCTTTCTATGGACATTGCACATACATTGTGCACAGACATATTCAGGCAAATACTCAGACAGATATACATAAATAAAATCACAGAAAATTAGAAAAGGAATTAGATGAAGAATGACTGAAAACTGCTTATAAACCTTTGGACCTTGCAAAATGGGTTTTGCACACACACACACATACACACACACACGTATATACATCTGTATTATTATTTTTTGTTGTTTGTTTTTCTTTTTGTTCTGAGACATGGTTTCTCTGTAGCCCTAGCTGTCCTGGAACTCACACTGCAGACCAGGCTGGCCTTGAACTCATAGAGATTCACTTGCCTCTGCCTCCTGTGTGCTAGGATTTAAGGCATGAGTCACCACCAACTGGTCTAAATCCAAACTCTTAAATATATAAATACAACCTGTTCAGTCTGTATAATGCTATTTGTTGTATGTTTTTTGGGCTGCCTGTTTGGTGTTGGATGACCAGTTGGAGCGCTCTCACTGGACCAGAGTATTTCTCCTATTTTCTGCATTCCTAAGTTACTTAGAGTTCTTTGCCTATGTTGAGATCTTGTGGTCTTCTCCTGTCTAGTACATCTACAGCTGTCCTCATTAAGCTCATGTTTAGGTAGTCATGTTAGTGATATTTTATGTGTGTAGCTTCTTACACTAGTAGGAGATACAGTCTCACAGCAAACTCTCTGATTCTGACTCTTACAAACTTTGAGCTTCCTCTTCCACATGGTTCCCTTGAGTCTTAGGTAGGGGAGATTTTCTGTAGTCGCATCCATTAAGCTCTGCATTTGATTGGTTATGGCTTTCTATAGTAGTCTCCATCTATTGAAAAGAGAAGTTTCATTTATGAGTGGTGACGACTACTTATCTGTAGATATAATTACAAACATTTAGAATGTGGTTAGGGAGTATGCTGGTTAGGGAGTATGCTGGTTTAGTAAAGTGGCAGTTATGACTTCGCTAGGTCTGGGGAGTTGGCTAGGTTCCCAGTACTAGGCATGGTTTATCTCTTGGTGAGTGGGTCTTAAGTCCAGTTAAAGAGCTGTTGATCACCAACAAGGTATGTATGCCTCTACTACACCCTTAAGGTTATTCTATCATGCTGATTATTTTTGTGGTTCATAGGCATCATAACTAGGTATGGGTAGGACGATGGATTTCATGTCAGTTTCTGGCTGGAATTCTTTAGGCAGAACCTTCATGGTATATCCTTTGCATATTTAAGAGTATTTTGAATATCTGCGCTACTCTGCAAGCAGTAGAACAAGTAGTTAATTCTCAGGTTTTCTAGAGGCTGAGATTAGGATTATAGGAAATACATTTAAATAGAAGACAGGTCCCAGCCTCAACTGAATGCGCCAGGCATGGTTGACTCCCCGTGAGTGGTCTTACCCTTTCTGAGACGTGGATAAGGGAGTTGGGGGAGGGTGGGAAGGAGTGGGAGAAGAGGAGGGGAGAACTGTGATTGGTATGTAAAATTAATAAAAAGTAAAAAATATAACAGGTCATCTATTAAGGTAGCCAATTGGTCACCTAGCAGATATATCATGAAATATGAAATGTTTTATCATTGTCTTAGTCTGGGTTACTATTGCTATGATGGAGCACCACGACTAAAAGCAGTTGGGGAAGAAAGGTTTTCTTTGACTTACATTTCCACACTCTGGATTCCAATAGTCTATCCTTGAAGAAACTTAGGACAGAAACTCAAACAGGGTGGGGACCTGGAGGCAGGAGCTAATGCCGAGGCTATGGAGGGATGCTGCTTACTGGCTTCCTCCCCATGGCTTTCTCAGATTGTTTTCTTATAGAACCCAGGGACACTACTAGCCCATGGATGGTCACACCCACAGTGGGCTGAGACCCCCACATCAATCACTAATTAAGAAAATGCTCTACATGCTTGCCTACAACCCAATCTTACAGAGGCATTTTCTCAACTGGGATTCCCTCTTGTCATATGACTCTAGCCTCTGTCAGGTTGACATAAAATTAGCCAGCACAACTATTGTCAACAAAAAGTACATACTTTTTTAGAAATTTTGGAAACTTGTGTTTCTTTAATGTTTATTTATTCATTTGTGGTTATGTGTATTGAATCCTGGGTCTTGCACATGCTAGGATAGTGCTCTACCTCAAATATGGCCTCATATTTCTGTGATTTTCATACTAAAAGTCTTTTGATGATATTTCTTGTTTATAAAATATATAGATTCCTTTGGATATATACCCCAAAGTGGTATTACTGTGTCTTGAGGAAGGTTGTTTCCTAATTTTTTGAGAAATCGCCACACTGACATCCAAAGGGGTTGTACTAGCTTGCATTCCCACCAGCAATGCAGAAGTATTTCCTTTTCCAAAGGATGCTCAATTGTGCCACAAGAACATGTGCTCAACTATGTTCATAGCAGCTTTGTTTGTCATAGCCAGAACCTGGAAACAACCTAAATGCCCCTCGACTGAAGAATGGATCAGGAAAATGTGGTACATTTACACAATGGAGTACTACACAACAGAAAAAAATAATGACATTTTGAATTGTTCAGGTAAATGGATGGAGCTAGAAAACACTATTTTGAGTGAGGTAACCCAGATCCAGAAAGACAATTATCACATGCACTCACTCATAGGTGATTTTTAAACATAAAGCAAAGAAAACTGGCCTACAGTCCACAATTCCAGAGAACTTAGACAACAATGAGGACCATAAGAGAGACTTACATAGATCTAATCTACATGGGAAATAGGAAAAGACAAGATGTCCTGAGTAAATTGGGATCATGGGAACCTTGTGGGAGGGTTGAAGGGGGAAGGGGAGAGGTAAGAAGGGGAGCAGAGAAAAATGCAGAGCTCAATAAAAATCAATAAAAAAGAAACAAAAAAACTTGAAAAAATAAAATATATGAATTCCATTTTTTTAGTCTTCATTCAAGGTCTTCTGCTATAAGTCACTACAGATTGCTCCAGCGTCACTATGACAACCTTTATTTTACAATTCACATCACGGGTAGTCCTGGCATACTAGTTAATTCCAGGAAAACTCAGTAGCTTCTAGTCGTGCTACAATGACAATCTGTTTTGTACTCTTGTATTCATTCATATTTTTGTCTTGACCATTGTGGCATTTTTACTTTGCTTATCTTGTAAATATCAACTTTTCATCTGAGATTTTCTTGGTGACTTTTCTTACTGAGGTTTCCAGTTCACAAGTTTATTGCAGAAATTATAGTTTATTGTTCATAGCTGGATGCCTCTTTTTTTGCTGGACTAGATTTTTTTAAGGGTAAGCACAAAAGTCACATGTTATGGGTTTTTGCATTTCCATTTTTGGTGTGATCCATGACATAGGATGTTTAATGAACAGCTGTTGAATTAAAGTCTGGATGTTCTCTCTAGAAAAGAGAAGGGAGCACCAATTGCTGCGATGAAGTCTGTACCGTGGATTCCAAAGGGAGCTGTGAAGGTTCTTCTCAGAGTCGTCAGTGTGTAAATACTGTGTTCCCAAGGTCTTCCTACAGTCATACTAGCATCTGGGACTCAATGCGCAGAACTTGGCAGTTTTGAACAACTACTTGTGATTGAAAAATGATCAACAAATTTAAGGTCCCAAAGCGTGGTTTTGGTACCAAAAAGCCGATGTCTTGCCGCTTGCCCCTCTCTTTCCGCGCTCCACACCTGAATGTTGGACCCCCAAATTGTTCCGTGAATTTTTTAATCAAAATAAAGAAAAAACTTAGTATACCCTATTTGGAGCTAGTGTGGGATTATTTGATTCGCATCTCCCACCACCTGACGTGTTCCACTTCAGTAACTAATTTTCTTAATAGATATTAGGTTTTAAAGATTGTATAGACCGTAACACTATTGTCTTTCTGAATAAGCTCTCCAAATGCTTAGGTATTAATCAATTCAAGTTGGAAAAGGACATTTCTGTTTGAAAATTATAAAAGGGAAGTTAAAGGACATACCATTTTTTAAAAATCACATTTAAAGTTTCATTTGCTTTAAAGTTGTCATCCTGATATCATGCAGTCTTGATTAAATGACTATTATGTCTAGAATTACTAAAATGACACAGTTTTGCATGATCCAATAGCTTTACATTTAAAAACCACCATTTTATCACATTATTCTATCAATATGTGAAGGTTTACATTGGCTTTGTATTTTATCTCTATTATAATTGAACAAGTGTATATTAATTAATGGTTAAATATTCTTTTTAGCATCTGGTTATGTTATAATCTTGACTGGAGAAAGAATGTACAGTAATGAGATTAAAAGGAGGCTTAATGTTAAGTTATATTACATTAAATGACTTATGTACTTTAGAATATATAGAAGTAACTTAATGAGATATACAGAACTGAAATGGAATTTTCTGAACTACATATTCACCAATTAATTTAAAAATGAATGGGGAAATGGTTTAAAAATGAGATTTTCCTTACTTAAGCAAAAAAATACTAAGATTTAATTTTGTAGGAAGATATTATATACTTTGGGCATTCTACTTTTATATTCTTTAGCCTAGTTTATAGCTAAAAAACTTTAAAGTAAATATGTGTTCTAATTTTAGCTGTTAAGAAACAGTGATTTAAATTGACAATAAAAGGTATAATGAAATACGACACTAAGAGGAAAAATTGGAGGATCTTACTGGGTCTGTTATTCATTCAATTTCTGGCAGTCTTTATGATTACAGATCACCTGACTGGCTAACTAGACATTCTTAGAATGAATTATGTCTCAGATTCATTTTACTTGATCAATTGTTGGTATATGCTATAGCTCTACTTTGTGATATATCAAATTTTCTAACAGAATAAGATGTACAATCAACTCTTTATTTCAGAAAAAGTAAATTGACTTAAAAAATGAAGCACTGTTTCGAACAATTTTAACAACAGTATAATTTCTGCTTTTGTATTTCAAAGTGGATTTATGATGGTGAATTTATCTTTTCAGATCAAAAAATTATTAGGATGATTTATTAATATTCATACAATTTCTATAAAATGATGTCAGTTCTATAGGCCGTTTGGGCAGTTGCCTAAACTCAGGCTAAGTTGTTTTCCCTTTCTTTCTTTCTTTCTTTCTTTCTTTCTTTCTTTCTTTCTTTCTT